ATACCGTCTATTCAAATAACGTTAATTCATACAAAAATGACCATGTCAGCCAACTAACTGACCTTAATATGACCAACTTATCGGCCGGATTCGCACTTTTTGACCATGCATATTTATTAATGACATAATTAAGTTATGCTCATGCAAATTAAACTAGCATGGCCAATTTTCCGTATCGAAAAATTCCTTCTAAGAAATAAAGTCGATTCGCATTTGTTGAATAGCGAGATGACATATATTTTGCAAGGGTTATCACCAAAACTTAAAAGTTTATTACATTAATATAATTAAATATTAGATACACATGCAAAAAATACGAACAAATTAAACTAGCATGGCCAACTTTCCGTATCGAGAAATTCCTTCTTAAATGAACTATACATCCCTTCGGTGGACATCGAAACCGATCCATTAAAGCAGCCAAAGACTGTCTGCAGTCATAAGGACTGTTGTACTCAAGAGAATATTAACGGAACTATCAAGGTCCACTACAAAACTGATTGTCATTCACCATGCTACTTGGATAATAGCGATAGCAACATTATAGGAAATGAGGGTCTATTAGACTGCCAGGCATTTTGTGAGTACGAACAGGTAAAGCCATCCCAGTGGATTGTACCGACAAATTTGGTACCCGACCCAAACCCGTTTACGATAAACGACGAGGGTAAAGCATTTATGCGACTTGTTAGAACGATCAAGTCGGAAACGTGCCATAAATGCAAACATTCGTATCAATCGCACCTACATATTAACTACGAGACCCGTTTGGTAAATAAACAGGTCCGGGATGAGACTAAATACCAGCGCATAACTACAGCTCAAGAGGCATCAGAAGCTCAGCAAGCTCAGATTAAGGAGCTCGAAGTTAAAATCAAGGAATTGACTGATGAAAATATCACGATTACAAAGTGCATGGCTAAGTTTGCGTGTTTTCTTAAAAATAACGCCCTGACACCATTTAATGATGCATTCGAAGATTACGTGAACTTGCTCATTGCTAACGAGAAACAGATAGGTAATATTGATCGTGGTAGCAGCATGGTCACAATTGATAAGCTAACACAATTACTACTGGGATATAAATACGAAAAGAATGTTATACTGGATGCCATGAAGAAAAGTGACCAGGTAAATATTTCGGTTGAGGATATTGATCAAATTATCAAGCAACTATTCGCGTTAAAGTGGAATGGAGGTGTCATTTCGGCATTATTGACAACACAGATCAAATTAAAAGCTCAGAATCATATGTTTAATGAGCTTCATGTAAACACCGATGATGGAACTGGATCAAAGTTTTTAGGATTAAAAGCATTTTGGAATAAAATTTATATGTAAACAAGGATTAATTTATAATTCTTAAATTCATTATGAAATTATTTTAGAATTTTCACAATGAAAAAATTATTTTACTTTTTTATAATAATCTAGATTTATATACAGTACCACTGACAATAATTCCAAATAAGTTACTTTTTAACTCTGCTTTCATATTATTGTTCAGTGTTATTTAACATTTAATCTGATATGTTGCATTAATATTTATTATAATTTTATAAAAAACCGAATTTATCAGTTTCGAATTAACATAGTATTGTAATGAAGTAAAATTTGATAAATAATTAAAGAACTTGCACCAATTATAATGTATTTGCATTGAGAATTAACATATTATGGCTACCATGAAGACTCGAACTAATACGGGTCACACTATGAGTTACAATCTCAATACTAACTAATGATATAATATTCACAGTTTTGTCACTCTTAATGTGATCCGGATTATAATGTATGCGCATCCTAGTATTATCGTAACCCAAGGGATTGACTTATATGCATAAAGTGCATATTGTGCATATCAAAGCGAAAGAGCTAGTTATAAATTTAATTATTATTAAATATTAAATTATTATTAACTTTATACAAACATATTTAAATGTTCTATAACTAAATGAGTTAATAATTTACTAATTATAATTGTAAACACATATTAATAGCTCTCTCTCCCAATGAGGACCACATAATTGTGAGAGAAAGCTATTAATATGAGATTACAATTATAATTAGTAAATTATTAACTCATTTAGTTATAGAACATTTAAATATGTTTGTATAAAGTTAATAATAATTTAATATTTAATAATAATTAAATTTATAACTAGCTCTCTCGCTTTGATATGCACGTTATACATATAAGTCAATCCCTAACCCAATGCTAATATTACGTAAATTATGAATATAATATTTGTCCTAAATATTGATAATCTGAAATATTTGGGCTTCGTAAAAGCTATTTCTTTAACTCTTATATTATCGTAAAGGCAAAATTGTAAATTTAAGTAAACGGATTAAACCGAATTATGAATGAGTGCAATTTTCTGAATAGGGACGACTGTTTCGGTACTCTGTAGCCCATTTCCTTAGCAATGACATGTGATTTTGCTTTCGACTGTTGCTGATCGGCCAACATCTTCTTAATGAGCCCTCCGTTCCACTTGAGTCCACACAACTCACATATTTTCTTGTCGATGTCCTCTAACGATATGCAAACCGCACCGTTGTTTTGGTTACTGTTTTTCATTGCTTTCTGTATGACTTCCTTCTCATACTTATATTTTACGAGCAGTTGTTCCAACTTTTTAATGGTCTCCCGATTATCCTCGGCGCTCATTGAACCGCCTTTCCTTTCGTTATCAATCAGGTGTCGGACGTAGTCCTCGAAGGCGTCGTTAAATGTGGTTAAGGCGTTGTGTCTGAGAAACCACGCGAACTCAGCCATACATCTCGTGATTGTATCTTGCTCAGAAGTTAACTCTTTTATCTTTTCATCCAGTTCTTTCATCTTGGACTGCTGCGCTTCCATGGCTTCTTTATCAGTAGTAATGCGTTTATTTTTGTTCTCATCCCTTATCTTTGTGGTCACAATACGGGTCTCGTAATTGATATGTAGGTGCGTTTGATACGAATGTTTACACTTAAAGCATTTATCGGATTTTGTGACTTGTGATGGCATTCCTAATACCAGTCCCTCGTCGTTGAACTCGTGTTCTCCAAACTCTCGGTTATCTTTGGGAAACTCTGACGGATGGTAATAACGATCCTCACCGACCCGTTTATACTCAATAAAAGCCGCACATTCGAGTAGTCCTTTATTTCCCATTATATTTCCGTCGCTGAATTTTAGGTAACAGGGATTATGACAGTTGACCCGATAGTGTACTTTCTCCACGCCATTGATATTTTCTTTGGTACAGCACTGGATGTCCCCGCACACAGTCTTAGGCTTAGCCAATGGTGTGGACACTATGTCTTTGGACGGTATATACAGTTCCCGTTGAAGTTCCTCTATAGTGCCTCTAAAATCAAATATCCGTCTCTTATGTGCCTCACATTCCTTCACATTATTGGCGATATTGTTCGCGATGTCAGCCAATGGTTGAGTCAATAATAATATGTTTTGTTTGGCGTTATTGAGGGATAGGGTGTCCATCACTTTGTGAGGGGGAAGGGAGACGATGCGCTCCAGTAGTCGATCGCATTCAGTAACAGATCTATTAATTAACAATAACAATTAACTTAAATAATTATTTGTCTCTAATAAAATAATAGCAAATAAAATCAATTTTTCAAAAATTCTTAAAACATTGTTGAATATTACATTATTACTTACTGCTAATATTTTCAATTAAAATTAATCATTAATATAAATTTAATGTCTAATAAATATTTATTTATTTCAGGAATATCGAAATCAATAATTCTATGTTCATATTATTTATTTCAATTTTTGTACGTAGCACTTTGTAATTAAACATTTTAAATTATTTTTGCTAATAATATAAATTATTATTTTTGTTAGACTCGAATAATTATTTTCTATATGAAAACTTTAATTTTAAAGAGCTATTAAAAATATGTAAAGTTTGATTTGGATAACTAATAAATTGAAATGACAAATATTAATAAAAAAATAATTGTATTAAATTAAATAAGTAAAATTTTTGCAATAATTTTGTTATAACTTATTTAATGGCTTGCTGATAACGGGCCAGAAATGCCCAATATCAAACATATGGACCCGGAAATGAACTAACCATAATGACTTGACCCGGACTAACCATATGGTCCAGGACAAACCTTACAGCTCCGACTCGGACAACCAAGCGGGCACCGACATTTTAGCACCTTCAAATTAACTATTTTTTTATAATTCAGTTCCTCAGTAAAAAGCATTTAAAAATAATATAGGGTGCTCAAATAAAAGCTAAAGTTAAGGAGTTCTGTTTTTGCCATCCCTGTACCTTTTAACAAGTTTAGTAATCTTGAGGTTAACTAGAAATATTTTAGTTAATTTTAAAATACTGTAATATTATTTTGTTTAGATAATACGCATGGGTGTATAATACGTTTTTGTTAGATTATTCATAAAAATAATTTGTTTTGTATTATCCACGGATGAAACGCTAATATTTACGGTAATAATAAAAAATATAATTTATTTATAAATTCAATGTTCAAGTTCTAGAATAATTAAAATATAATATTTCTTATGTCAAACCTTTTCCAACTGATATCATAATCACGTTTGAAATCCTCATTAAACTGCATGTTATTCGGAGGTACAGTAGCCACGAGATAACGGAAAGATTCGTTATCGAAACAATAGATGGTTTCCCTACTATATTTCACGTCCACATTCGGAGGCCTTTCCTTAACTTCTTTTAATAATTTCTTTAATACTGGGCCTGAATCACCTGGTGCATACTGTGTGGACCGGGCGTTGGTGAATAGGAACAGTATGTTATCGGCCGCAGACTTATTCAAATGACTGAACAACTCAAGCAAACAATACTTGAAAACCACGTCAACCCTCGCGTTATTAGGCTTTAAGAGCACACAAATGGCATTAATCTCGCGATAATTGCTTATAAAGTCCAACAGATTTCTCATATTTTTGTTGTCCTGTTCTACACCATCCGTATCGCCAATACCCGGGGTATCGATAATATTGAGTATAAACTCATTGTTTTGAAATTTATAACATTTGGGAGATTTAGTAGCCGATTGTGTCGAATCGGTCGTATTCTCATTGCTGTCCGGTATTCCGAATAAAATTTCCTGCTCATTATAAGTCTGTTGGTCTGATAGTATAAACTGAACTGGTATAATGCAAATGGGCTCATCCCTGGCCTCATCCATAGTCTCATAAGTCATGTAATTGACGAGCGCGTTAATAAAAGTAGACTTTCCAACCCCTGATTCACCCAATAATAGGATCGTTATAACTTTGTGGGTATTATTTTCAATTGTTGTAAACGGTTTCAAAGTAGTTTTTGAGGTCCGTTCGACATTTTGTATTGCACGATTAATCTTTATAATTAGTGGTGGTATGCCAGATATATAATCGAGTAAGCGATTGCATTCAGTTACTGATCTGTAATTAAATTAAAATATAAATTAATAATAGAATTATAACAGTTATTTAAACTTAAATTACTTTGACCAAGCCATTTCATTTTCACGTTTAGTTTCGGGACCAAACTGCATGCTATTTGGGGAATGTGAAGCTACCAGGTATCGGAAGTCCTCGTTATCAAAACAATAAATTGTGCTTTTATTGAATTTAATATTAATATCTTGGTAATTATTTGTGAACTTGCTTATCGCATCTTTTACAGCCGGTACAAATTCTGCGGGTTTTTGGGCGTTTGGGAATATGAATATTATGTTGTTTATTAAACTTTTATTTATATAATAGACCAGTTTTAGCAGATAATTTTTGATAATAAAGTCAACCATGGCATTATTAGACTTCAAAAGCACGCAGATGGCATTAATGTCTCGATAATTGCTAATAACGTCCAAGATAGTTTTAAAATTATGTTCATCAACTTCAATATCATCTGTGTTTACAATATCTTGCGTATCGATAATATTAAGACTAATGCCATCAGTATTATATTTGTGACATTTTGGGTAAATAGGTCCAGAACCTGTAGGCTCATTTGACGACATTGAAATATTCATGAATTCATATGTGTCTGGGTCGAAAATTGAAAATTCATCATTCACTAAGATCTAACCTGTATTTTTATAACAGGGAGTGTACCAATATTATCCAATAAGCGTTTGCATTCCGAATGACACCTATTTATTTAAAATTACCATGTTTAATCTATAGTAAATAGATACAAATTTAAAATATTTGACGACATTGAAATATTCATGAATTCATATGTGTCTGGGTCGAAAATTGAAAATTCATCATTCACTAAGCATTTAATTTCTTGATGCCTGGCCTCATCCATAGTCTCGTAAGTCATATAATTGGCAAATGCGTTGATAAATGTAGACTTTCCCACACCCCACTCACCCAACAGTAACAAGGTCAATTCTTGTTTATTACGAGGGCTATCTTGTCGTGTTTGTAATGATTCATGTTGCCTTGGTGTTACTCTTGGTCTAACCTGTATTTTTATAACAGGGAGTGTACCAATATTATCCAATAAGCGTTTGCATTCCGAATGACACCTATTTATTTAAAATTACCATGTTTAATCTATAGTAAATAGATACAAATTTAAAATACTTCATCCAATTGACATCCTGGTCAGCTTTGATATTTTTATCCAAATCCATGTTATTGGGCGATGATGACGCTACACTGTATCTAAAAGGATCGTAGTTAATACAGTAAATGATCTGTTTACTTTGTTTTATATCTATATGAGGGGTATTTTCCCTGATACGACTCAATTCAGATATTAATATTGAAGCAGAATTTCCGGGTTTATAGGTATCGGCGAAGAGGAACAGTATGTTATTGGCGGCCGACCTGTTCAAGTGACTCAACAATTGTGACAAACAATACTTGAAAATCACGTCAACCCTAGTGTCGGATGGCTTTAAGAGCACACAAATGGCATTGATTTCCTGATAATTCCTTATAAAGTCCAACAGAATTCTCATATTTGTGTTATTAGTGTTATCGCTATCTTCGCCATTGATGTCCACAATACCCGGGGTATCGATAATATTGAGCACAATATCATTGGCTAAAAAGCTATAGCATTTGGGTGTGGTCGATTCGTTTGTGTTTCCAGTTACCATGTTACCAGCATTTCCGAGTTTTACATTTTTGACCTCGTACGTTTCAGCGTCCACTATGCTTATATCAATAGGAAAGATGCAAATTGGTTGTTCGCTTCCCTCGTAAAAGTCTTTATAAGTTATGTAATTGGCAAACGCGTTGATAAAAACAAATTTGTCAATACCCGGCTCACCCACCAATAGGATTGTGATCACCCTCTTCGATGACATATTCTATTAAAATAATTATGCTAATTTTAAACACAGCAATTTGTAAAAATGTATGCTAACAATGCGTTAACGGGAAGTGATATTCAGTTAATTAAATAAAATAAACTGGATTATACTTGTATGGTATGGTATATTAAGATTGTCCAGGTCCGGTAATCTAGCGGGATGTCTTAGATGTCCAAATAGGTGATTATATTAGGGGCGTGCTATAAAAACTCTATACATTTTTGCTATAAAAACCTATTCAACTAC